TACACACACACACATACACACATACACACATACACATACACACACACATACACACACACACATACACACACACACACACACACACATCTCAACTTGATTTGTATAAAGCTGAAGGCAGAAGTAAAATGTGAAAAGACTGCTACCTGAGCATGTACCAGTGTGATCAGTGGCCCCTGTGAGGTCACAGTTTTTCTTCCTTAGAAAATGGGTTCTCAGTGATGTTTTCTGGTTTCCAATCTACAGTGGCCTCTTGCCAGTCTATAAATGCCCATAGCTGGTTCTGTCAATGGTTTTTGATTTACAGATTAAGTGCTTTATGAGGCTTAACATAGCAACACAAATATTTAAATTGCTCCCACATTTTACAACCTTCACTGCTGCATTTTATATAAAGGGCCCAAAATGAATATTGTTATTGATAAAAATTGGATGCACCCAGAGGGCTTGGGATCACTGAGAGCAAAAAAAACAATGGAACATACTGAGAAATCAAAGACACATGCTGAGAAAGGTAGGAAATCCTCCAACTCCACCCTCTGTCCTTACACCACAGGCTCTGGGCTTCTAAGCAGATATGGGCCGCTCCACAGCTTCACATTTCATCTGAAACACTCATTGAAAAACTTCTACATTTCTAACAAATAGCAGCAAATGCCTCGGTGAGGTTCACACAGCCGTCGATGAGTGTATCCTTATGGCAGGATCTGGTGTTTGAAGGTAAACCTGAACTGTGTTATTCGGAGTACTGTGTGCAGCCAGCAGTGCTTCGCCTGGCTAGGGACTTCCCTCTCGATCACTCTTCTCACTAACAGTAGGAAAGGTGGAAATTGCCAGTTGCCCAGTGGCTGAGTTGGTATTTCAGTTCTGGTAAAGTCTTCATAAATGCCTCTACGCAATGATTAAGTAATAAAAATTTATTACAGTTAAAATTATTTTGATAACTAATAATATCAATAAGATTTTTTTCAGCCTTCTGATTTTACCTGAAACTTTGCCCGATGTTTTTATATGTGCTGGTTAACCTGATATAAAAGAAAGATCATGTGATGCTGTTATAAATTATGGTACAATTCCAGCAAACGGTATTGATATAAACATGACTTCAAAGTTTGTAATAGTTTTAACATTGGAACAGTATTTCCAAGTGTCCATGTACAGTGAATGAAATGGAAAACTTTAGAAAATGTAAATAAATACCACTTATATCATTAGTATTCCAAACTGAGAAAAAAATCTTAACTGATTAGAGACCAGCAAGATATTAAAAACTAACTTAATGATAAGATTGGAGCATTTTAGAAAAAAATTAATACTGCATAGTTCACAAAAGTGGTATCTATTGAATTGGAGCAAAGATTTAAAATCTTAACTAACTTTATTGTGAGATTTAGTAGGCTTTTAAGATCTCATTTTTTTGAGATTTGTGTTGTTATTTTTATTAGTTGTGTGTGTGTGTGTGTGTGTGTGTGTGTGTGTGTGTGTGTGTCCGCACATGCATGTGTAAGATATGGGATGGGTGCCTGGGTGCCACTGCACATATATAGAGATCAGAGGACAAATGTGTAGCTGCTTTTCTCCTTCAACCTTTATGTGGATTCCAAAGATAGAACTCAGGTCTTCAGACTGGTGCAGCAAGCACCCTTACCCACTAAGAGCCAGCCAGCTAGACATCTCACTTGTCCAAGGACTCGTTTCTTAAATGAGAACTTGAAAACATTTCTCAAAACTCTAAATATTTAACCATTTGCTGCATCACTATTAGAAAATAAAACATAAAAATACATAATGCTGTTGAGTGTGCCTCATGGTCTATGTAATGTACCTTGAGAGGCATTATGCTATCTAACATGAAAAGTCATCAGGCAGATGTTATTGCTGTCTGTTGATAGAAGAAGCAGAAGGAGATCGAGAAACTTGCCTGAAGTTGCCTAGGTTACAAGAGAGGAGACCTAGACCAGAAGTTGAATCCCCCGGTTGCAAGTGAATCTCATCTTCTTAACTTGTCAGAGAAGCTTTGCATCTTCTGTTACCAGATCAAAATGATATTAACTCAAGGAGAATTTTGGATAGCTATTTGGCAGATTATCAAATATATTTTAATGAAACTCTCATTGATCTCTATCAACTAATATCAATATATCAATAATCATTATTGTGGGAATCTCAAAAGGACAAGTTCATTTTCTAAACAGGTGGGAAGCTGATCATACCACTGAACTGTAAACATTCTGATTAGCAAACCAAGGGATAAAGCAGTTGTGTACAAAGCATCCAATGCATGGAAGTCACAACACCAACAAAAAGTTACAACACTGTGAAAAAGATTAGCTGAGGAAATGATTGCTTGTAGCTTCACTTATGACTCTCCAGAGAATAAGCCTAACCCATGCCAAGGAACTTTGTGATTCTTCAGGGAGAAAGGGTAATCTAGGACTATTTTTAAAAGTTATGAGCTGACACAAACAACTCATTGGAAGTTGGCCTTAACAACACACCAATATGCACCTGTTATCAATGCCTCTTCCCTAACCGGAACTGATTCCAGATGACATTAGCAGATTATCAGTAGGTTCACCTCATCGGCACTTCTACTGATTCCTAAATAAATCACCCAATGCAAACGATTCTGGGGCCTTTATGAATTGCATGTAATGAAGTAACCTGCTTAGCTATTTGTGAATTGTAGTTTTGATGAATAGCTTTAAGTCTTTCTAACTCACTGACTTGTTTTTGTCTATTTTGTGGGCAGTAGGACTCTTAGGAAAGATAAAGCATTACCTCGCAAAGAGACCACTGCCATCTCCTGCTGAACGGAAGAAGTTTGATCGTGAGTTTGCCATCTCCACTTCCTTTCATGGTATTTATAACATTGCCCAGAACCAGAGCAGGGTTCGAAAGGTGCTCTGGCTGTCTGTGGTACTGGGCTCTGTCTCCCTCTTGGTGTGGCAAGTCTACAGCCGCTTGGTCAATTACTTCACGTGGCCGACCACCACATCTATAGAGGTTCAGTATGTGGAGAAGATCGAGTTCCCAGCTGTGACGTTCTGTAACTTGAATAGGTAAGAATCATTGCTTTAGTCTCGGCTTTTAATTAATTTTAGTATGGACTGATTTGGATAACGAAAGTAAGGTGTTCTGTTGCAGTATTTGACATAGGTAAAAGCAATGGCATTTTTAAATTGAACTTAAGGAACAAAGATAAGGAAAGAAAGCAGCTTGCTAATTTCTTCATCCATTCATTTTTTTTCCCTTCCCCTTCCCCTCTTCCCTTGTGCGTTAACATGCTGGGTAAGTATCAAACTCTGTGGTTAAGTAGATGTAAAATAATGTGATTCCCTGAACTTAAGTATGCTAATGAGAGAGGGGAATCCTTATGTAATTGGGTCATTAGTAACACAATACAGATATATACCCAAGCACTCTACATGGAGTGTTTTGGACATAACTGGAGGTTCCAAGGAGGAGAGGAGGAGGAACTAACAAGAGAACTAATGCACAGTATCTGGAGATATGAGGTGTGGTTGATAATATGACAGGATATCTATCTCAGTAGAGGTGGGCTAGCTAGAGAGCCAAAGGTATGCATCCTGATCAGTTGCCTAGGGCCCTGAGTTCTGGAGACCTTTACACTCGGCTGCATTCTCCTTGGCCACTCTCAAGCTCCAGACTGTAGCCCACTGCAGAAAGTTGCAATCACTGAACCAGGACAGCTTCCTCCTATGAGGCCTTCACAAACAAAGCCTTGGGACTGTCCATGGTGACGCTTGAAAGAGCATATCTAAGAATTTCACTGGAGTCTTAAAGAACCTTTGTAAGACTTTATTAATAACTCTTTTTCATGGGTTATTAAGGAATTAACCATGGATATATCCCTTCATTCTCTCTCTCTCTCTCTCTCTCTCTCTCTCTCTCTCTCTCTCTCTCTCTCTCTCCCCCCCCCCCCCCCCCCCCCCCCCCCCCCCCGTGTGTGTGTGTGTGTGTGTGTGTGTGTGTGTGTGTGTGTGTTTATGTGTAGGGAGGAAAGAGTAGATAGATAGCTATTGATGGATATATAATTTATTCAACCATTTTATGTATTTTCTGTGACATCAGTTCTAGTAATGCTGCCTCTTGTTTCTGAAGCAGTTCAAGAACAAGTACTGGACACATTGTACATGTTATAAGGGATTTGTGTGGCCACTAGTATTTTAAAGCTTCAACTTATGCACTTAGGTGTCAGAAGGTAAAGATAAGTCAACCCTCTCACAAGAGAAAAGATTCTCAGTATCTATTGCCTCACACTACTGAGATGGCATGCATTGTGACAAAGGCGAGGCTTGCTTGCAGGTACATTGGATTGAAAGATTCTGAAACACTGGAAGGACCATGTGAGGAGATCCACAGTCACTGTTCCCAGAGAATCAACTGTAACTAGTGGGCAAAAACGTTTTCAGAAACTGAACTGTTAAAGTGTTGAGTCTGAAGGAAATATAGCCTAAGGAGACATGATTGTTCAGGAGTATTTACTTACTGAATGTCAGAACCTATTGTGAAGTTCTGGAGAGCTTAGACAAGGTATCTATCTCCTTTCCCATCCTATTCTGTCTCAGCATGACCAAAGTGGGTCTCTTGGTGGATTTAGGCAGGAAAAGCTCCTGTGTCTCGCCTCTCAGCCAGGGATTGCAATGTGTCCTGGGAGATTCAGGTTGACAACATAGTATCTCTACCCAGGTCCATGTGGCCGAGGTTAAATTTTCAATGAGTATGGCATGGTAGCTGGGGATACCATGCATCTCATGTGTCTGTGGAAGAAAGGAGTCAGAGGTCATGCTACAACACTCTTCCGTGGTGAACTATCTTATCAGTAGGAGATTGATAGCTAAAATTGTTGCTAAGGGATTCATGATACCTAAGAAGGGATCAAAATTTTTCAGTAATTCCCTGGGGGGTCCATGTGTGTGAAGATTACAGCTCAAACACGGGCTTACCCTATCCTGGCCTTATTGACACAATTCTTCCTGCTAACAGGTGTGTTTTGAAGCAGAAAATAATATGTGTTTAAAAATACTGAAGATGAAAAGAAAGAACAAAAGTTTAAGAAAAAAATCATGTAATAATACTCTTATATTTTTGGAAAAGGACATACATTCTTATTAGTTGTGGGATTTAAGAGTAACATTGCATTTCTGTGTAAACAGTAATGCAAAGTTGTCAATGACTTCATCTATATCAGCCTCGTAGTGCATTAGTGTTCAGTGTACTCAATGTCACACTCAATATAGTCTTTGTATATTAAACCTAATAGATGCATGTTGGAGTTGCCAGTCTGCTTCACTTGCAGCTTCTTAAAAATTTCCATTAATTTCAATTTTGAAAAGTTCCTTTACAGAAAGCAGTGTGCAGACAAGAAGAGCTAAGCTCATAAAGGACATTTGGCACAGAGTCACAAAAAATTAAGTTGTACGATAGATTCTGGGAAATGAGCTATTATTCATGACCTTTTTATTTGGAACTAATCTAGTAACTTATAAATAGCCCTGTATCCAATTCCCGCTAAATATCATTATTATAGAATTCACCACAAATTTCCATTACATTTTGCCAAAACTCTCCATTTCTTATTCTTCTACTAAAACTAGAGAGAGTGGCTTATTGGTAAGAGTTCATGTGCTTAACCAATGTTCCAAAACACACCACCCATGTTCTTCTGTCTCTTGCTCTTTACAATCATTGTGATCATTTATTTTCACCAAATTCTTGTAAATGTGTGTGTGTGTACATTTGTGTGTGCATGTAAGTGTATGCATGTATATATATGCATGTGTGTATGTGTGTACATGCAGACTAAAGGATTTTTAATGAAATGTGTTAAAGATTCTGTCAGTTAATGAGAGTACCAGTAAAATGTTACAATCTGCTCAAAGGGGAAGCCAAAAGTCATTCTTCTTCAGATTTTTTCTCTTTAACATTATCTGAAAAGATATATTGGCGGAACTCATTGAAAGGCAGAACCTGGCATTAATTCAGGCATCAAGTGAAACTTTTTAATTTGGGGCATATGATTTTAGGAAGTGAGTTTTGAGCCACTGGTGTGTGTAAGCATAGATTTAGCAATAGTTTTCCAGGTATTAGATTGTTTAAAGAAGTCAGTATTTTTTGTTATATTTTATTATATATTCTTTATATGTTAGGTTCAATAGATAGCATATATATTATATATAGATATATATCCATTTAAATATGATTCTTGCCAGGATATATTTCATAAAACATTAAGACAAACATTGTGGAAGCACGGCACAAACCTTGTCTTGCAGTTTCAGCTTCAGAATCCAGTCCCATGCGTGGGAGACAAGAATGCTACCTTTGTCCACTATTCTCAGCAATCACAACTTTTCTTAAAGAATAGTTTTTTTTTAAGTGTATGTCAAAGTTAAAAACAAACTCAGTACAAGACATTTTGGTTCTATGTATCTTATAAAAACTTCATTTCTTTGCTTCTAACATTGCTAGGGTTTATCTATATTATTTAATATAATGAAATTACCAGTATTGGCTCAACCTTCATTAGCATAACAATATATTTTATGAGAACATTGTAAACTGAAGGCTTTCTTAAGAATTTTATTCCCTATATTTATAGCACCCACAGGAGGGGCAATTCTTTAAGTTCACTGTATAGTCATTTCCATGAGAGGCATTGCCTCATGGCATCTATAGTGTATCAGAGTTGTAGTGTGACCATTAATTCATGATGAAAACTGTGCCTCTCACCAAAATCTATTAGTTACTAACTTTGGGAAAATAGTTCCCAGAAATGCTTTTGACTGAGAAAAGGGAGGTGTTGAAACATAATAAAATTAGAAGAATGTCAGGACTATCTCATGTGAGAAAATTGTCTCAGAGTCTCAAAGTACGATGTTTCAGGATCAGGATGTAAAGCTGGCCATGAATGGACCAGAGACAGTGGAGTAAGACATTAGAGTATGTTAGATGCTAATCATTAAAACAATTGTAATCTTTGACATGTTCGGGGGCATCACATATTATTAGCTTGCAGTTTTTGCAGTTTTTGTTTTGAATCTGTTTTATATTCTTTGGGAAAAGATTGAATATGGGCTTACACTAGAAAGAAAACTTTAAAGACAAAACACATAGAGAAAATTACGTGGACTCACATACACATACATCAATAATAATTAAAGAAGATATCATAAATTTTGGAGGTTGACACAGGAAGAGTTTGAGGGGTAGAGGAAGGCATGGGAGTGACATAGATATGGGGGTGATGTATGAAGTTCTCAAAAAATTAAATAAATAAATAATATAGCATGATTATTATCACCACAAGGATAATATCTGTAAATATTAAAAATGGGAAAATATGCTAAAAGCACTAATCATGTTCAATATAACTTTCTGATAATTGGTTTTAAAATAGCTCAACAGAAACTACTAATTAAATAAATACCCCCCCCATTTCAAAAGGAAAATTGAAAATAAAATCTAGGTCAGGACCACCATGAGCTATCAACACCCTTTATGTGAGAATGGCTATTTCTGAAAAGACAACCAATAAAAATTGTTTTTGAGGGTGTGGGGGAAGAGTAACCTTTACCTACTATTGGTAGGAGTTAAATTATTACAGCCACGTGGAAAGTAGGACTTTGCTTCCTCACTAAACTACATATAGAACTTCTCATTATCCAAAAAACCTACTATCGGCCACATATCCAAAGAAAAGAAAGTCAATATGCAAAACAAGCCTGTACATGACAACAATAATTACAGCACCATTCACTGCAACAGAAACAATGCAAAAGGCTGTTAGTTGATGAATGAATAACAAAGTTTCAGCAAATGTGCAAAAAAAAAATCCTAATATTCTGCATTAAAATTGAAAGCTTTTTGTTTGTATTGAGGATAGAGTTGTAGAGTGTTATGTTCAACAAGGAAACCCAGGCATGCTCAACTTGCATAAACACTACAGAGTATATTCACATCTTACCCTCTAATAAATATCTAACTTCTATCTTTATAGATCAGTTAAAGCAAATTTAGTAAGTGTCACAAAGAAAGGAATGACAAAGTCTAGAACATAAGAAGATTCTAAAATGACATGCAAACCATGTACTGGGTGACATGGAACCCTACTCAGAATGGACCACCCATTCCATTCTGTGCTGTCAGACAAGGAGAAGAGAGGAAAACTGCTCACTGAAGGGTTTTTAGGATCAAAATGTGAAATCACTACCTGTATTTTGAAAGAATGTAAAGCATGCAAATAAAAATCTAAACATGATGCATAATGGAAATTGCTTAACAAATATAATCCTTTATGAATGCAGCTTTGCCTTGTTTCTGTCTTCTAGAAAATTACAAGTTGTATCATTCTAACCAATGCCTTCATTCCTACCTACAGATTCCAAACAGAGGCTGTATCAAAATTTGGCATCATTGTCTTCTTGTGGGATGTAGTTTCCAAAGTCCTCCGCCTTCAGGAAATTAGTGGCAACCACACGGAATCTTCAGAGACCTTAGATTTTGTTACAAGTCACCAAAACTTCAGCATTACAGAATTTGTCAAGAATAATGGCTTTTTTCTCAATCAGGACACTTTGTTGCACTGTGACTTTTTTGGAAAACCATGTGGTCCAAAGGTAATGGTTGAAAATTTCTCCAAATCTAATCAAGACAGTAGACTGTGGTTTTGTTCTGTTTTATGCTCAAATAAAATTGTTCCCTTGAGAAACCAACCTGTTTATACAAGTACATTTCATCAGCTCTGCTCACTTCTGCTTTGCAATAGCAGGAGATGTGGGGTCCAGGGGGGACAAATTTCTTTTTTTCAAGAAGTGATCTAAGGGTTGGAGAGATGGCTGGGGGAAGAGCATTACTTGCTGCACAGGCACGGGGATCTGAGTGCAGATCCAACAGCCTTGCAAAGCTAGTGGTGCTGTGTCCTTGCAGGCAGCAGAGGCAGGAGGCTTGTAGGGGCTGGATACCAGCCTAGCTCCGGGAAATAATGTGGGAAGTGACAGATCAGGGCACTCAGAGTTGTCCTTCGGCATCACACATGTGCGTATACTGCATGTGCATGTGCAAGTGGGATACACACACACACACACACACACACACACACGAGGGGTGGGTGGCTAGAGAAAACAATAGATGACCAAAGTTTAAAAGTTCTTTTTTGAAGCACAGTTTTTTTTTCCAAAGTAAAAGAGCTTACACCATAGGATACTGTAATTTTTTCCTTATCTTTCAACGCCATATTTGAAGAAAGCATTTCTGTTTTCCTTAAGCAGCTATCACACTGTTTTCAAGATAGTGGCATTTTATGAGAATAGACAGAAATAAGTCTTCTAGTCTTCAACTAAAAATTATATGTCACATGCACAATACATGTAGTGAGCTTTATATCCACACAGAATATGTCTAAAATTCTGTTTCAATTACTTATGCAATTAGTCTAAGGTAAAACACAGCATGACTAGAATCTGATCCGTTTATTTCCTACATATCCAATTCCCTATGCTATGAGAGAGTTTCAAAGTGAACATCAAATTCATAGTCGCACGAGATACTTAGCCTTCTGAGAGGCACACAATAGATACATCTGAGAGTTGATGGGGATGAGGACAAGCAGCAGGAATTGACTGAACTCTAACCCAAAGGGGCTCTTCTTCCTTGCTTTGTATTTACTAACACATTTAAATTCACTACCTAGAAAATTTTCACGAGTGAGATAATATATATTCCAGAAACCCAATTCTAATAATCTGTGTAGTAAAATATATGAATTGGTTTAGTAAACTGGGTAATATAAAAGCAGGACTGGCTTTAGAAAACGCTATACCAACGAGCCTCCTTACTTTGATTCTTCTTCCCCGTCTCAACTTTTCCTGCCTGCTTTTGGTATGCTCTCTCCCCATAGAGACCCAAAACTTCAGCCAACAATAATTTTCTCACAGTGACACAGTAGCACTTAAGAATCGAGGTGAGAATCTAATGGTAGGCCCATCATCAGTTCCTAAAACAGTTGCTGAGGCAAGAGGTCAGGGTATGCAGATCATCCCAGCTTATATCACATGCACACCTCTGTGGAGGATGGGACCAGTTATCATAGGGGTCAACAGGAAGCAGAATGTGACTGCTCCAGAACATATGATTGGAGCTGTGACTTGTCAAAGGAGGGGTGTGGAAGCCATTCACCAAAGCCTAAAACATGTTTCCATGAATCATTATTTAAAAAGTAAAATCTTATTTTTAGTTGTTGTAAAGAAGCAGACTTAATTATACATGAAAATGTCTCATTTAAAAATAACATGCAAATTGACCTAAATGTTCATTATACAAGTGAAAACTGTTGATCATATACATGCATAAATTGCCGGACTATCAAATCTTTCTGATATAAGCCTCCTTATATAAACATTTGCAAGTATAGAAAAATGGTAGAGTGACTGGAACTTTGGGGCATGGAAAAGTTCTCCACTGACTGTGTTCTATTTGGTTTATTTTCATATTGGAGGATTTCAAACACGTTTTTACTGAATATGGAAATTGCTTTACTTTTAACCATGGTGAGAATATCCAAAGCAAGAATAAAGTGAGTTTGTCTGGAAGAGGCTTAAAGCTGCTCTTCAATGTCCACCAGGTATCCACTTCACTTCATTCTAGTCTGGGTTGAAAAGCAACAAGTGCACAGGACTCCATTTTTAGTAAAAATATTTTTCTTTGTCAAATAAATTCCACCAGTTGAGTTTATTTCACGCTTTGCCTACTTACTCTAATGCCCAATGAATTGTGGATTACTGTTGTCTTGGAGCTTCAGAAATCAGATCATTCAGATATAAAATAGACAATGTTTACTGTTCTAATACTTTCTATTAACCAAGGATCATTTATGCAGTAGAGTAAAGAAATGGAGAGTTCTGTCATGCCATGTGTTTAGCTAATGACACTATCATTAAAAATGCAATTGTGGTAGAATTTTCATCTGAATATGAAAATGCATTTTGAGAAGAACTCTATGTGTACATTGATTAGTCATAGAATTCTTCTCTGACAGGAAGAAAAGACCCTACTGTGTAAGAATCATAAGTGTACTTAAACTAAGCCTCACTGTTCATTGGTTTGCTTTTGTTTGTGGTTGCTATTTGTAACTGGCCTAGGAAGTTGTATTTGAACCTAAGACTCAGATGTTTCAACATCTAAGAATTGCATTGCTGTGACTTCAAAGGTGCTGAATGAATAGCTTCCATACCTGCCCTCTGCTGCCAAGGGTTTATAGATTAGTACTTTGCCATGATGGTAGAGTAAGTATTTAAAGACAAACAATGAATGGCAGAGAAAGATGTTCACCTCATCTGAATCACAGCAAATGACTTACTCCTCCATAAACATGAACGAGGTCATGATTGCTTTTAAGAACTTCTGTTAATATCATCTTCATAACTTCCTATGTCTCGCTCAAAAAAATTGTACTTACGCTCAAACACAACCCTGCACTCAGAAAATATTTGACCAATTTTAAACTATTTAGATAATAGCAATAGGATTAGTTTAAACATTAATTATGAATTTTTAATAGTGGAAAAACCCAAATATTTGTATGATACAATTTAAACCTATAAATGTAATGTTCTGTAAGCAAATGACACCTAGATATTTCTCTAAACCAACCTAGTCAATGCTTTTTAGAAGGTTTTAACAAGTCCAGGACAAATGGGCCTCTGAGTTACAGGAATTTAAAACTTGCTCCCCAAGGATAATTACATAATAGTGAACAGATTCACCGAAGAAGATATGCACACATTCAACCTTTTCCTTGTATCCTGAAACTACAGCATCACAAGCAATTTACATGTTAGTATCTTTACCTGACATAGGTTTATAGATTTTAAAAAGTTGTTAAATAATGTAAAATTTCACAATCATTGAAGAAGACACTTAAATTTTAAACAAGGTTTAATAACAAAGACATCTGCAGGGAAAAAAGAAGAGCCAAGTAGGAACTTCTAAAAGGCACCTAGGAGAAGAGATTGACAGGAAGTGAGGTCATCAGCTGATACCATTGAGCTTGTGGATTTACTCAGGAGCAACTAACTGTCTGGGATTCAGCCTGGAAAAAAAAAAAGCCTGTTTTAGATATGAAATTTCCACACCTCTCACAACAATAGATTGAAACCTAATCTGGTATTACTGAATTTAGGAAGTCAAATACACCATGCATTGATAAAAGCAAACTTTGAACTCTTGTAGAACTATTATCCGTGTGTGTATATGTGTTCCCTTCAGGAAGAATTTACTGATAATCCCATGCCTGGTTTTGCTGATGCTGGGATCATCTTTGTTATTCACTCACCCAAGAAGGAACCACAGTTTGATGGCTTGGGTTTGTCTTCTCCTGTGGGGATGCACGCCCGGGTGACCATGCGCCAGCTGAAGGTAAGAACTTGGGAGATGTAGAGGAAAGAGAGGCGATTAGTTGGTAATGAATGCATTAAACACGCAAATAACCTTTTTAATGAGAGACCCTTAACTCCTATGTTTTTAAGCTACGGCTGGAAAGGCCAACACTTTGTTTCAGATGCTTTTCCTTTATCTGGAGGCTCCCCTGTGGCAAAAGGCAGTAGATTCCTATGTACAAACTAAGTGAGCATGGGGAAGCCTATTAAATCCAAGGTAACTTCAGACATCATTAAGAACAGGACCACAAAGTAGGCTTCAGAATTGAATGCTTCCTCTGTGAAGCCATCTGCAAAAAATTTTTTTTAAAAAGTGGGAGAGCAGCAACCATGGAGACAAGCCAGTGTGGCAGGCTTCCACAAGACTGCCTTTAACTCAGGAACTTCCTTAATTAACTTTCTGAATTTGCATCCATTCCCTGTACTCTTGGCGAGTGGACAGCTTTTCGTTTCCAGAGTTACGACGTTTAAAAGCCAAGTAACAAAAAGAAAGCAAAGTACTTGTTGCATATTAAGTAACAGTTGCTCAATAAAGGATTAATTTTTTCACATTGGTTGATGATGGTTTGTGAGTAACCTGAGTAAAATGATGATAAAGCATTTGCATAAATGTTTTTTTCCTCATGTGAATTAATTTTTAGAATGGTTAGTCTATTTGATGTTTTCATTAACATTTAGGTTAAAGATTTACAGGCTGCTGTTATAGAGGCCTTCAGGGACTTTCAGGATAACGTTGTGGACAAATGGGTAAATTTAGTGTATTGGAAAAAAAATTTAAAACTTTGAGATAAGTAAAAGTGCACAGCATCCTTTAATGGAAAATGGCAGAAGTCTGTGTCCTAACTCTGGCATCTGTTGTCTTCAGACAGTCCACCAGGAATACCCGTGGGGAGAGTGCAATCCTGACATCAAGTTGAGGGACTTTACCACCTACAGCACTTACAGTTGTTTGAAGGAGTGCAAAGCCCAGCACATCCAGCAGCAGTGTGGATGTTTGCCCTTTCTGCTTCCAGGTAAAGACTGACAGCTTCTCCCCACACTGCCTAATTGGAAGCATAGGAAGCTAGTGTGTCCTTGAATAGTATTCCATTCTCATGAAAGTCTATGCTGGAAAATGGCCCACTTGCCAAATCTTTATCTCAGTTGGTCCATTTGAAAGCATGGAAGCATCACCGAGTTTTCTGGGAAAGAAAACGATGCCGTCAATCTAGGTCCTCAATTCTTTCTTAGAGGGTTAAAATCAGATGTTCTTAAGGGCCTTAAATTGAAGGAATGTCAAGAGTTTTGTAACTTGAAATCAAAAACTGGATCATGCATACATATAGCACTACAGACTCTAAAGATTTCACTGTTGGGAAATTCCTTGCCTTGTGACTGTGAAGGAAACTTCTAGGCTTCTTTGCATACAGTCTCAGGTATTTCCAGGACCAGGGATCCCTCAGGCAATAAGCAGAGGATAAAACTTGGGTCTGATTTCAGACTTTCATATCTAGCTGATGTCACACCTCTCTGTGCTTACTATAAAATGGGGAGAGTTGTGTCCACCAGAGCAGGGTCCTTATGAGGATGCAACAGGTAATAGAAAACATAGATAAGATCTATAGAAATGATGAACAATTTAATTTATATTTATTCTATTGCCTTTTCTTACCATGTCCATAAAGAGATGTGGGCTATTAGAGAAATAGAAATGGAGAGAATAAAACTGTGGCCACTCTAAACCCCTCATGTTTTCTCTCTCTCTCTCTCTCTCTCTCTCTCTCTCTCTCTCTCTCTCTCCTTTCTCCCTCCCTCCTGCCCTCCCTCCATCCCTCCTTCCCTCTGTGTGTGTGGTCTAGGACAAGCCACTTTCTGAGGCTTAGCTCTTTATCTGGAAAATGATAATTCCTACATCATAAGATTATGAACATGCTAAAACAAGATGAAACTTGTGGAAGCAATTGTAAAATTAAAATTTACAAGTATTTAAAAACATAAAGACTTAACAAGAGAAGACAAGTGAAAAGAATAAAAAAAAACAAAACAAAACCAGTGTTCTTCTCGGCAGCCCCTTTCTCTGGATTTGTATATGTCTGCATGTTCATTATCCTAAGAATAAATGTCAGTATGAAGGATGGTTAGAGAAGAAGATATAGAAAAGAAATGTGCTTTTGATTTTATCAAAAATCTGGAGCCCAGATGTAGCTCAGTGCTGGAGGTGTCTCAGTGCTGGAGGTGTCTCAGTGCTGGAGGTGCATTTAAAATATTTGAGGTCCTGAACTCAAACAACTGCATCCTCAAAAATACAGACGCCAGTGAACTCAAATAACAGTGTCCAGAATCAGTCTCCCAAATTACCTCTCCAGATAGGTGCACATTCCAAAGCCTCGTCGTCTTTTCTAATGGGAGAATTTTATTTCAAGAAAACTCTTTATATGTTACACTTCCTGTTTTTAAGGAAACGGTGTCGAATGTGATCTACTAAAACACTACAACTGTGTATCTCCCATCCTTGGTAAGTTGCTTGATTTTTTTCTTTTACTTTCAAGGTTTATATTAAAATTATTTAGTTACAAGACATGAAATAACATTATGGATATCCCAGATATGAAAAAAAGAAGCTATATAAAAAATTTTAAATAATTATTTAATACTCACTACATTACACAGTCAAAGAAATTCCCTCTAAGTTAAAGGCAAGGACAACACAGTGTCCACAATAGCTCGGGGGGTTATTTTCAAATCTTTATGCTGTTTATAACCTCTGTTCTCTATATTATCAAAATGGCCTTGATTTTTATTTCATTGCTGAAACATTTTTACAACTAGATCAAATATTCCAAATTAGAAAAAGAATCATGTAAAACTCAGTAGCAGCTTGTTAGTTTGAAAATCATTTACATTTTTAAGAAGCATTGTTTCATTTAATTAAACATGTGTCATGTATAACATTTTTGCGTAAATAGAATCACAATCACACATGTCTTATGTATTGACAACATAAACAGATTTATTTTGCCTAAACTTTGGATAGACCCCAAATTATTAATATTATATTACATTCTTGTATAATTTGATCCCTGCACATAACTTGAGAGTTATGGTTTTAAATCATTGGTTTCCCTCTGAAAATATAATATATTATATATGCTTTGTCTTATTTTTGTGGATTATAGCAACCTACCAAAACAAGCTGGGCGACAAAGGATTTATTCTAACTCAATTTAACACAATTACAGGTTCCATACAGTTCATGACTGGGGAGATCCACAGATCCACAGTTAAGAGCAGAAAAGATTAAATTGATGAATGCACACCTCTTCTTAATTTACTTTCTCCGCTCATGCAGGTCAAGATCCCTTAAATGCTTTCCCCCACAATGGGCAGATCTTCCCACCTCAATTAATATAAACAATAAATAATGTACCATAGACATGCTCACAAGCCAACCTAATCTAGAGAATCCCTAATTGAAATTCCCTTCCCAGATGTTTCTAGATTTTGGCAAGTTTAACTAACCATTGTACTCTTCTAGGAAAGATTTTTTTCTAACTCAATGTAGAAATATCTTTAAGATGGCAGCAGTAGAATAAATATTTTTTAAATGGCTATAAAATATTTCAAGTTCTGGATATGAAGTAGATTTATATTTTTCTTTAGTTTCCAAACCATTTATGCAAATGCCATAATGCCATATTAAAAACAAAAAAAGAATAAGAACTAGGCTGTCAAACTTTTGTTTTTGTGCCACTGATGAAAGCCAGAGGGAGAGTCTGGAAAAATAAATCATACATACAGTAGTCTGGGGACTGCTATGGGATAACAGGATCATAAAGCCGTGCACATGAATGTGAGTGTATAGTATGTATGAACATATGAGTGTGTAAGAATATGTGGTGTGGGAATGAGTGTATGCGTAGGGTATTAGTGTATATGAGTGTACAAGTGTGTCGGAGAACATTCATTAAAGTATCTGTATGAGAATAGCATTCGTGAATATATGAGTGTGTTGGATTGTGTGTGGGGGGGTATAGGAATGTGTAGTAGTGTGCAGGTGAAAGTGAAAAGGTGACAATTTGGTAGACAGAGAACCTCAGTGGTGCCTGAGAAGCTAAGAGAATCATGGAAACAAGGAACCTTATGTCAACAGAGTATTTCACACCAATTTAGGATAAGTGTAAAGGTAAGTATAGTTTAAGCCATTGACTTTCAGAATTCTATCTGCAGGTTCCTCTCACAGTGGCATGGCTCTCGGTCCTGTTCTGTCCAAACAGTTGATCTTATATGGAAATAGTCCAGGAACATCCTGGAATTTCTTTCCTAATGAAGATCCGACTCCAGTGACTCAGTGGATCAAGGATTACAACTATCTTATATTCTGTCCTGTTGGTTGTACTAACAGTAAAATATAAACATGATTTACTAAAGTAATAGGTGTAGTTAACTACGTCTTTTTCAACACAGGAAAAGAAATGATGAATTTTAGAATGCCCTGTCTCCCCATTGTGGTATCTTGTCTAAGTGCACTGTTCTTGATTTTATTTCAGATCACATTGAGCTTAAGGGACTGTGCACGATGGGAACACACAACTCCAGCTGCCCTGTGTCATGTGAAGAAACAGAATACCCAGCTACTGTTTCTTATTCTACTTTTCCAAGTCAAAGAGCATTAAAATTTCTTGCCAAGAAATTGAATCAAAGCCAAGAATATCTCAGGTAATCTGGTTAGTCTTATAAATTATTCATGATTAACATTAAATTTTCCTTACTGAATACTTGAAGTTTCAGGAAATGACATGGTAGTCAGATGAGGAAGGCAGTTTGGAGGTCGTTCAGCTAATAAAGACAATGGTGGGAATTTAGAGACAAATACGGTCACCTCTGTTAGCTCCCTATTTTAGCTTTTAACATAGTCATACGATGCTGACTGAAATTGTTTGCTCATGATCATTCCTTCATTGTCCTAACTGGAGAAAATACAAATGATATTTAATATTAGTGCTTCAAACATGACAAGCCTTTATCTGTATACTTTGTGCTTTGAGACTCCTAATAACTATATAAAATAGGTGAAAAGGAAATTATCTTCATTTTACAAGAGTGAACCAAAGTCCATTGAATTTTAAATAACTGCCAATGACATGAGAAGACTCGGTCTCTTCCCACCAAGTCTCAATGATGTGGGATTCTACTTCCAATGTTGAGTGCCCAGTTAGTTTCCTCTCTGCCATACTATGTTAATTCTTGCAAATTACAAATAAAAGGCTGTAATGAAATTTTAGTGTCTTTTTGAGAAAGAAAACCAAACAGATTTCCATTTGAAATATTTTTTGCCATATTTTGTGCAAAACCAGATCAGTCCTTCTAATGCCATACTAATGCTCAAGCCCCACAGAGGTTAGTAATATAGACACATAATCAGTGTTCTTTGATCTCTTTACTGTTATTAAAACTCAGATTTTATTTTATTATTTATATGTCTTTTCCCCAAGACAAGCAAGTGTACTTGGACTCAATAGAACCATTTCATTATTACCTTGAGTTTCCGTTTCAGAGACTCATGTGGATGGATGAGTCAGCTGACAGAGAATCAGCATAAACATCACAGTCTCTTTATGGAAGAAGAATTTATCATCTCGTAAAAAACACTGATGGATAGTCTTCAAAAATGATCACTAAAGTTTAGTTTGGAAAGATAAAGCATATTATCAGTGTACATGCAAATTAAGAGGACAATGGAGAACAGGAAGTCAAGAATGCCACTAAAATGTCTGAATTCCCGTGACAACATTACAACTTCTTCCATTTTAATAACTGTTTTATCACTTGTAAATATTACAGTTTCGGCTGATGATCTGTCTAAATATCTTACGTTTTCCTGTTACCTAGCATTAGACTAATGGAAATTAACTACACATATTAATGGTGCATTTTGAATTAAGTATATTAGAGAGTATTGATTCCCCAAACTGTAAACAATAAGGAAAGTGGTTTACAGCCATGTTCCTTAGATATGTTAGCGAATGCCATGTTTCAGGAAACATTGCTAATAGGGTCCATTCTTCATTAAAATTCCTATTGCCATCTGAAAATCATGTGGTAATTGATTTCAACTTCAGTTAACAGCACAGACAGGTTAATATTTAGCCAGTTGTTTGTTGGCTTCATTTTTAAGTTGTTGTAATTTTAACAAATTATATAATAAGCATGTGTTGGGTGTTTGGATTCAAAGGCTGTGATAGGCATGAGGATTCCTGGATGGATAAAATTTACAAGCCAGGCCTAATCGCACATATTTCCATTGTGGTGGGAATGGATGATAAGTATGTAAGTTATATAAAATGGTGCTGGAACAGAAAAAAAACAAAAGAAAATTCATCTAGAGAAGCAAGAGTGAAAAAAAAAAAAGGCTTGTCTTCAGATTTATCAGATTTATGGACTGTCAGTGGGAAAGACCTTGAGCAGAAGTGAACAAAACTCTACAACCTTGGGTCTGCAAAGTCCATGCAGATGTTTCCCGTAGAGTGCCCTCTGAGTATCAGGGGAATACAGCCAGAGGGTCCTGATTGAGCAGGTTGAAGAATTGTCAGTTATTGTATGAAGAACAGCGGGTATTTACTGAGGTGGGATAACTCAAATTGAAAGCATAATCTCCAGCCAGATGTCTATAACAAAACTCCCAGGGAGAGATTATGATTGCTTGGGTGACAGTGGGAAGAGTAGGGTGTGAAACAATAGGACTCTACATAGATGCTGATGGTTCCACAAACAAGATTTGTTGATAGATGGCTTAGTGGTGCCAAACGGAAAATATCAAGAGTTTGGCTTGGAATGTGTTGGAGTGTGTTAAATTATTAGACAAGTGAGTGGAATTATCAAAAATCAATCAAATACATGATTGGAATTCAAAGTAGAGGTCTTGGTGGAGAGAATAGAGGATTGGGGACCTCAATTGTATCAAGTGTAGAGGTTTTGAGGTGATATTGAGCCACCCTGGCCATGTGTGAAGGTTTAAAGAGGACATTAAGAAAATAAAGTCATTGCTCAATGACTCAATCGTTTACAAGTTTGTAAACAATAAGTGGGAAATTGCATTTATCAACAGGGCAGCTTCTACTCTGGTCCATGTTTAATTTCTCACTAAAACCTGTGAGGTCAGCTCTTCTCTACTAACCTTGGAAAAAGAAACAACCCTGCTTCTTCAGGATCATTTAAGCAACTTGGAAAAGTCAATAATTGAATTAAAATTATAATCCAGAAGTTTGTAAATATAATGGGCTACAGTTAGATGATTACATGTACTGTCTTTCTTCAGTTTCTCAAGAATAAAGCACAGAAATATGATGGGGTGGGTTCTTTCTTTCTTTCTTTTTTTTTTTTTTTTTTTTTTTTTTTGAGACAGGGTTTCTCTGTGTAGTTTTGTGCCTTTCCTGGAACTCACTTGGTAGCCCAGGCTGGCCTCAAACTCACAGAGATCCACCTGGCTCTGCCTCCCGAGTGCTGGGATTAAAGGCATGCGCCACCACCACCCGGCTGG